CCTTAAAGCTCCAGCCTTCAAAGTGCCCTTCTGTGTATCCCTAAAAGCCAAACCCAGGAATTGCTTCTTTACAGGAAAAAAACTCATTGTTCTTAGACCACACAACTGGGTCACTGAACTGTTGCTTGCCTTTGCGACGCCAGTGAATCCAAATTAGCTTGACTTCCACAGAGGATATAGGGAAGGAAAGCAACCAGCATTAATCAGAGCAACACAAGCAGCTCGTCCAAAACAAATTAGCTTCAACAGTCAGCACACAGAGTCCTTCAGTCAGTGCGGCCAAGCTGAACTTAGGCCAAACTTCATGTCAAAAAGAGTAACTGGTTTAATATGTATCTGTGGAGTCTGCGTTTGTTTCCTTTTTTTCCTCTCAATCCATCTGCAGGAAGCCATGAACAAGCTGAGCAAAGTAAAACGGCTCATCTCGTCACAGCCAGACCCTCTGTGTGATGTTCATCTCACCTAAGCTAATTCAAAGGCAGGTACTGAGACATTCCGGTGCCTAGGTCCTCCCTTTTTTTCCAATAAAGGAAGAGGTGATAGGCATGGGATTCATCTTCCGTTGATATGTTTGCAATATAATTGTTATCATCTGAAATTAATAGACAAAGGAGGAAACAGGCATCTCCAGAGAGGCAGTCATCAGACTTATGTCAGACATCTCTTGTAAGATGACAAGATGTGTGGTGGAAGCAATTCTTCCTCCTGGTCGGTGTAAAGGAAGTCCAGACACCTAACTCAGGCATATATGCCACTGTCACCTGTGTTTGGTCCAACAAATCCCTATCTTCCAGACAGCAATTTTACCTATGTTAAAATTGGTGTTTTAAGGTAGGTGGGATGAATCATCTTCTCCAGGGGCATGGACATTGACATTTCAGGGTACAAATCTAAGCCATTGGTATTAAATGGCAAGGGTCGTCATTTCTACTTTAGATCCAAGAAATATGAGACCCTCACAGAAAGGAAAGGCAATGAAGCAAGTCAACTGCAGGAGATTACTTCTTCCAGCTTCTCTCTGTCAGACTTGTTTCCCTCAGTCATTTTTTAAACTCAATTTGTGTAGTGAAAAGTAGGACAACAAAATGAAATTGCCAAGCTTCTGTGGCCAAGAGGGGCTTCGTGTAACAGCAGGCCTCTGTTCCTCCACTCCTGGTATCAAAATCCAACATAATGTTTTTATTTGCATTTTGCCCCTGCATGTTTCTACAGATAATGCAGTGGCCCAGCTTAAATGTTATCTGTAGTAAAAATAAGTTTAAGTACAAACAATTATTCTGTAATTATAATAATTTAAAATGAGAGGAAACAACCTGCTAATTATTTTTTTTTAAAAAGTGTTTCTTCCAAAGCTCTCACTGCTCCCACTAAAACTCTTATTTCTCTGGGATGTAATACCTTTTTTGCTAATGATTAATTACAAGTTCATCTACCACATCCTCTATTGCAGCACAGATATAGCAAGTATCTATCAACAAATATAAATCAAGCAGTGCTGAATTCATAACATATACAGTAATTTACAACAGCAAGGAAGACTTTATGGAAAATGAAATAAGATAAACTTCTTCTACATCATGGATAGCCATTATGGGTATTGCTATTTTTCAATAAGGTCTACAGAGTCTCTGTAATATTTGACCACTAAGACTCCTTAGCAAAATTACTTGGTGAAGCAAGGAAGTGTTACTGTTGGGGGGTGAAGCCTACAGCTGAGAAGAGGGACTATAAACAATAATGCAGCTGCCAGTTATGGTACCCAGCCTGGACTCAGGGACTTTCTGTGGAATCTAAGAAAAAGATCATAATGATAAATTGAGAACATCTACTTTTCTGAGCTGTCTGATCCTGTCTCTTATAACAACAGTGCCCAACCCTTGGCTGAGACAATCTGCCTCATGTCGGATGGAGACACACAAGGGTTGCAATCTAGTATCTCACCTCTGTATGGTGATTAGTGAAGAGTTACACCTTCCTCAAGGTGCAGCCTGCATGTACTTGTCCACTGAAAAGAGGGGGAGCTGTGCAGGCCCATGAGGTAGGAGATGACAAGGAACAGAGAGGAGGAAAGGAGAATCATCTGCAGAGACACATACTGCTCCCTTCCCTGGGCTGAGAGCAGGGGCTGATGTGGGCTGCACTGAGCCACCCACAGCCTTGTCCAGCCTGAAAGCTGGCCACCACTACCTCACTTACCACATATCTCCCTCATATGTTCTTTATTATTGTTTTATGGGTTTGGTTTGGGTGTTTGTTTTGTTTTGGGGGGGTGGGGGGGTGTGGTGGAGTTGTTGCGGTCTTTCTGTGGGTGGGTGAAAAGTTCAGATGAGGGACATGAGAACTCACACAAAGTAATAAAACACTACCATTAGCATACACGTCTCAAGATGAAGAAGCACCTTACAAAACACAAAATGCAGGCAAAGGAGCTCAGCAGAAAGTTATTTGCATTTCTTTAAACATTTCTATCATTTTAGGGAACCTAGGTTCCTTATTTTGTACTAGCTAAAGAAAAGCTATTTACTGATGCTTTGTTATGTTAACATACATGTTGGGCCTGGTGCTACAAATTGTACTGTTGAAGTGACTGCACTGCACTATATGCAAACATTACGTTAAATAAGCAGTCACTTAATCTTTATTCCTGGCAGAAATCCATTCATTAAGGTCTACAGTAGGTCTTGAGCTTGAATGTTTCAGCAATGTTGACATTTCTGATTTCTCAATTTATGTATACATTTGTCGATATACTCATAAAAATACTATACACACACACATACATTTATATACATATATACATACAAATAGGAACAAATAACAAATGTGTGCAAGCCAGTGTACATTTACAGGACAATCACAATATACTAGAGGTCACAGGTAACAGCCAAATACATTAATGAATTGGCAGTTTAACAAAAGAAGGAAAACTACTCAGTAAGATTTTAAAAACAGTATGTGCTTTTAATCTCTGAGCAGCACAGAAGAGTACAGAGGGAATTTAAAGTGTGTAAAACTATGGAAGCTCCCTTGAAAGTAGTTCACCCACAAAGCCATCTGGCTGATCGTTCTCCTAAATCCATTCTAGATATTTCTAAAGCAGCCAAAACCACACATAGAACCTGGAAGGATGACCTATACTCGCCCTGTATTATCCTTAAGTATGGAAGTGGCACTGACATTACTTCCTCCAAAAGTCCTTGAGGGCTGTGTGACTAGGACCCTTCTTGTCACACTGCGGAGACAATGTCCTTTTGGATATAAGATGGGCAGATATCATGGCACACAATGAAAGATGTGTCATATGCCACCTGACAAACCCCGCACAGGAAGCCAGCAATCGAAGTCACAAAAACCTCACCTCATTTTCTGACCATGTCTCAGGGATCCTCATGAAAGAGGTGACAGAGAGCAAGTTGGGGCTGCACGCATTTGTCTAGTGATCCTCATCCAGTAGTGTACAGGATAGTTACCTGTCCTTTACAGAAGAACTGGATTGCACAATTTCTTTGGCAGTAGAATTTTTCTAAGTTATATCTGTCTATACAGACTTATTTCAAGGGCAAAGGAGACTCTCAGGTGTCTTCCCGTAAATACAGTCAGTACATATTTATACCCTAGCAGTAGTTAACTCGCTAAAACTGGCTATACCTTCATCTTGATCAACATATTTGAGGAATAAACAACCTCCTGACTGGGCAGGTTATTTCAGCAGCTCCAGCTGGATCAAGAAAGCAGATCCTTTACACTGTGCTGCGTTCATTTTCTGCCCAACTGCTCTTTGACTTTCTTAGCCAAAACTGTCATTAACTTATTTGCAGATTTGTGATTGGCTCTGCTGTCAAGTATTAAATTTATTTTAGCCTTATTTTAGACTTCATGCAGTAAAAACACAGCAAGCTTTTTTCAAAGCAAACACAGGATTACATGCAGGGTGACACACGTTATCTTGAATATGTAGGATTTTTAAACTAAAACATAGCTGAAGACCACACTTAGTTTCTATAATATCAACATTCTACAGAAGTTGTTCTTATTACTCACAACTGGTAGAGTACATTTTAACAGAAAATGAGCTGTAGTTAATTTTTAAATCATATTATTCCTTTTCAGTGGAGTAAAATGCCTGTGACTCTTATTCCTTTGGTCCAGAGGTTTGCCCCAGACCTTCAGAATTCATTGTGTCCAAGGACCAACAAGGGCACACTATATACTTGCATGAATCTCAGCTACATTTTGTCATAACAAGACTCCAGACACATGAAACTCACTTTAGACTTCAACAAACCAATTTATGATTAAGGAAAAAAGGAAACAAACAGCTTTTGTTCTGTCAATCCAATGCAAGCAATAACATTTTTTTCTTTGTTCACTTCCCCCTCCTTCATCCCTAGAAAGTACTAACTATAACCATTGAAGAGTTCTTTCTGATCAAGCTATTTTTAAAAAGATTAATGTTTTTGTGTGTGTTTTATTCTTGCTCCAATGAAGAAAAAGAAAAAAAAAAAAAAAAAAAAAAACAAAACCAAAAAACCACCCTACCCTCAAATTGCCTTTAAAAAGTGCTGAACACCATTCCCATCCCATAGCTATTATTCACCGACCACATCATGTCTTTTGACAACTCAGATGTTTTTGCAAAGCACTTGACTGATTATAGGGAAACACTTCAATAAGAAGCACATATACACTTAAATGATGCACTTTTTCTGATGTCTTTCCAAGAACAACAGTAGATAATTGTTGAGTTTCCTACTGGGAAATGTCTCTTTAATATGCAGATCTCTTAATGACTACTCTAATGCAAACTGTCAATGCCACAGTCATTTATTCATACATATAAGAAAAAAATTTAGCTCTTACTTAGAGGATGCTTTATCATCTTTCCAGGTAGCACAAATGCAATGCAGCCCATGCGCTATGTGGTTCACAGCTGCCAAGTGTTCTTTTTATTTTAAATACTATTACTGAATGTACCCGTAGGGTTTTTTAGACCCACTTACTTGGTGCTGACTGGCTTTTGCCAACTGCTCATTGGCTGATTCTACATTAGAAGATGCAGTCTCAATGTTGGCTTCAATACTATCTGCAAATTAAGACAATAGAAGATAATTACAGGGTACAAACCTAAACCAAAGACTTTATACCAACAGCAATTCAGCAATTTACTCACGGACATAGAGAGATGAGCACCTTCTTGTTTGCAAGCTGTAGTACTACAGGGAAATAGGAATGCCACCCATTTTATGAATACCTAACCCATCAATCAGACACTATGATTGACAGCTCTTCATGCATCCCCAGACAAGATGGAGGTGAACAGCTCATCCCATTCCCACTGAAAACAATGGGAAGAATAATAGGGAATTCAAAGGAAAGCAGCTCAAGACCGGTAGATTTACTAGATTAGAGTTAAATTACAGAAAGGACATGACTAATTGCATCTGAAATGATGTCATTATTAGAGCTCAGGGATAAGTTTTATCTGAGTACATGCGCGTTATTTTTTTTATCCCCAGGTGTCAATACTTGAATAAATCACCTTGGTCACTATCACAGTCAACAGAGAGCAAGCCCATAGTGTGCACTTCACCCCTCTCTACAATAGCTGCATGCTGCTGCTCAGATTAGATGGCTCAGAACCTAAACCCCAGATAGTGCAGATGGCTCAGATTAAAACACATTGCCCGTACCTAAAATTAAGGGAGAAGAATCTCAACCCAGATTGCAAAATATGATGTTGGGGGAAGCCAGAAGAACCGAGAGGAATCAAAGTGAGTCTAGAAAAGAAAGATTATTATCTACACATTGCAGCTAGCAGCTCCCCACTTCCATCAAAGGTAAGTATGAATTTAGACTCCAGAGCTGTGCTTAGAAAGCAAGAGACCTATGGTATAAAACCTGCAAATAAGGGATTGTGTTTCCAGCAGAAATCTTCTAAATCTTGACCAGCTTGTCCCCCAAGGGATGTGCAGCCAATAATTTATGTCCACAGTGAAAGAGTATATCCACTTGCTCTGCTTCTGCTTGTTTTCAAGCAGATATTACACCATGGTGTAATTTCAACCACAGGTAGAAATTTGAGAACAAGGTTCCAGGGATTTCTCTAATCCTTAATAAAATGAATGGAAATTCTTCAACTGATGGTATTAGGCATTGGATTAAGACATGCCACAGAAGATTTAAGTAATTCATTATTTTGTTTTTGAATGAAAGAACGTTAATTAGTCTGGCCACTTTTGTGATGGGTAAAGAAATGAGGGTTTGCAGATAAACTGTGGAAAGAGGTTGTATTCAGGATTATCCATTTTTAAGTGAAACAGTGTTGCAAGTCTGTTAATGTAATTATGCACTTCTGATAACTCAAAGCCAAAGAGCAAAGAAGTTGCAAACCAACAGAACCATGAAATAAACAAACTTCATCTTAAAACTTGGAAACCTGTTAAAAGTCTTGTATTAAACCTGGAAGAGATATTTTTCCATTTATTTTGCTTTAGATTATGCATGCTGTAGTACACAAGAAAAAAACTACATGGCTGGCACTTTTATAGAATAATATAGCATAATTTTATTGGCTATATCCAGTGCTTCTCAAACCATTTTTATTAAGACTTTAACACCAGAGACCTTGATTGGTATCACTGACCTCTGTCCAAATGCTTTACTTGCATTCAGGACTCAGCAGGAAATCCAAGCTTCCTATGAACAAAACCTTTGTGTGTGAAGAAATATCAAATTTTCTTCCACAGAGCCTTACAAGAGCTGCATCCACACACCTGCCCACATCAGTGTGACAGCCTTGAAGAGTTTACTTTCAGTATTGCATTGAGCTGAAGGCATTTCTGGGAAACTGTTAGATTTTTCTTTTCTTTATCAGTAGAAAAAAATGGTGCTGAATTACCAAAAATTATGAACAGAAACATGAATGGCACAACAGCACAGTGCAGTGGGCAGTATTTTAGCCATGTGAGTGGATCTACCCACGTCTACCTCAAACATGCGTGCCTGAGAAACAAGGTTTTCTTGTGAGTGAAACATGGTAGACAGATTTCAATCTGTCACTTGACAATAATTAGGTCCTAGGTGAGTTTACAAGGAAAATCCTAATACCACATTTCCACAAAGTGCTATCACTGACAACTGGTATCACACTTATGGTTCAAAAAAATAAGTGACCCAACTCCAGGGCTGGCCCTGATGTCTTTTCCAGCCAGACATTGAGGCTGACCCACAAATCATTCTACATATTTCATAGGCATTAGCTGTAGAGGGACATCTGATGCTTTCTGGTTAAAATTGAGAAATAGCTGAAAAGGGGTAGGTCTATGGGCTACATTGGCTCTGTAGGACAGGTGAGTGTCTTCTTTTTGTGTCTGCATGTTAAGACAGTTCTGTGTAAATGGCAACTACAAGCTCCACTCCAATATCCAGAACTGTGTACATGAGCCTCTCTGCATATGGAAACAACAGGGCACAAGGCAGAGAAAACTAAAGAGTTAATAGGTCATTAACACAGGCAGGATGCATCAGCCAGAATAACTTGTCATTCACCCACGGTGATAAATTGTTAGTTGCCTAGTAGTTGATAAGTATTTACTTCTATGGTTAAGCATGACTATGTGATGCATAGTTAACCAGATTGGACTTGCCTAAAAAAATTTTTGTATGTTCTGTGGAAGTCTGTAAGAACTAGCCACTGGGACAACACCAGTTTGCATCAATTGAAATTCAGATCCTGACCACTCAAAGCTCCATTATGCCCTAGCTTTCCTATAGCCAAGCTATGACACACATTAGGATGGGGGAAAATGTAGAAAAAATCAGGTAAAAAACAGAACCAAAACTAAGAATATATCCTGCTGGGACACCTGTTAATTTTAAAAACACAAAGTCTGACCATGGTTTTGCATTACAAATTGTAACTTTACATAGGAAAGCACCTCAATGTTTTAAGATACTTCATGATGGGATTTGGAAGGGATGTGGAGATTTGGGAAATTTGGAAGGGATGGGGGGAGTGTGCTGAACACCTTGACAACTGCTTAATTGAAGTAGCAGAACTTGCTCATGTATTTGATGTTTCCTGGGACCTTAGGGCAGACACCAATGCCTCTTAAAGTTTGACTGTCCTCAGAAAATTGATCATCTAGGCATAGAAGAACTACAGAGGAGCAATTTATGAAAGGTGTCTTACTATACCAAGAGTAATCTGTCTGTGGTCCTTTTGGAGCAGGGGGAAATCACAGAAGCAGCTTAATTTAACTTCCTAAAATGGTCCTCCAGAGGAACCTTTCTGCTCTCTGCTGCCTGCAGGGAGGCCTAAGAAGATTTGCCTTTGTTACATAAAATTAAACATTGTGAGTGCCCCCTTAGTGCTGCATGGAATGGGCTGATCATACGTTATGCACTGTGTTTTCTACATTTTTCTCAGCACAGGCTTTCACAAGTAGGATGGACATGTGCTACATGTCCTATATGAGTTGATGTGATGATACAGGAGGAGGCTGGACCCTGGTGGCACTGTTTCTGCTCACTTGTTCTCCTAACAGGGCAATACCAGACTCAGAATAAGCAAACCTCCCATTTAAATTTTTTTTTGAATCAACTTGTTATCCTGAGACAGAGGGGGGAAACTAAAACAAACAAAAAACTATCAAAACAGCTCTAAAACTCTGTAAAAACGAGACATAAATATGTAACACAATTTAACTAGATGTTTCTGCTCATTAAAACAGAAAAGCAAGGTAAGGAAAGAAATTTTGGGTCAAATCGCAAGGAAGTAATAAGTCATTGATTCTAATAAATCAATGATGTTAATAAGTCAGTGACGAATATGTGTCACTCATAGCTATTTCAGTGTAATTTTGCTAAATGCTAGCGATGGTTCTCAGCTTCACCTTGCTCACTTTCAGGCTCTTTGCCAAAGTACCCTGCTTAGGGATGAAGAGGAAAGTATTTCCAGAGGAGTGATAGGATCCTTGGTAGACTGAAAAAACTTGCTGGAGGGGTCTGCCTTTTCCTTTCTCTTTAGCTTTGGTATGAAGAAACAGTGACTCTCTTCCCAAAAAGGTGGGATGAACCAGCCCTGGGTCTCAGATTTTCCAAAGAGCCTGAATCCCACAACAATTTTCTGTCCTCAGTCTGTGATGACAGATTTATTGTACAGTTTGAAAACAAACAAAAACGTTAAGGCGTTGTGATCACCATTTTATTAAACTGAGGGACAGGGCTGCACCAAGGCAGATGGTGGATGCAAACTAATGCACCAAGGAATTAAGAAAATATTTGTAATTTTCCAGATGAAACTCATCCTTTCAATAGGAGTAGTGAAGGCAACAGAGCTAACCAGCTTTTAGATGTAATTTGATATGATTTTATGACACACTTGTCACATAGAGACAGAAGCCATGATGACCCCGGGAGGTGTCTTTCAACCCTATCTATTCACCTGTCTCCTGAGATCAAGCCCTGCTAATGAACAAAAGGAATCTTATATGTGAAATTACTGAAGTGACAGTGGCTGGAGTGGGGTTTTTGTCCTAAAGTATCAAGGAATCACCCATATGACCTGGGTCTTTACATTGGCAACAGTGTACTGGTTTCACAAAGCAGAATTTTCAATAAAACCGCTTGAAAGACAGGAAAGCGAGCTTGTGAATGAGAATTTTAAAACACTCCCACTTGGCAGTAACCAAAATGGGCCCCTTCAGGTTTCATAGTATGCTTTTATTTTTAGCAATTTAATAAGCTTAACCCTCTTTTATCACTACAACTTCTGGCTAAAAATAATAAATATAGCATACTGAGAAGCAGAATTAAAAAAAAAAAAAAAAAAAAAGGCGGCGTATTTTGGTAATGCTTAAAGGTTTCTTTCCTAATTAAAAAGCAAGTTTGGATAGAAATTGCTTTCAGCATGAAAATGAATTTTGCCTATTCTAATTGCCATGTACTTGGAGAGTTTTAAGTGAGTGTCATTCCACAAACCAAAGACCCTCAGGCTCTCTACAGGCACAACTGTGGATGTTAAAGGGAACGAAAACTATGGCAGTTCTTCTGGAGTGAAGTTTAAAATGGCTTAGGGTTAGT